AGATAGATAGATAGATAGATAGATAGATAGATAGATAGATAGATAGATAGATAGATAGATAGATAGATAGATAGATAGATAGATAGATAGATCTATGATAGATAGATAGATAGATAGATAGATAGATAGATAGATAGATAGATAGATCTATGATAGATAGAACTCATTTTCAAACAAAATGAGTACGCTTTAATCCTTTCACTAAAAATATTTTGTTTACCAGTATATTGTTGTCGAGGATTTATACGATAACTGTCAAAACTTGAAAATATTATTTATATATTTTAAAATCCAAAGTTTATTTTTTTGTGGCCCACATGTCAACAGTTTTGGACATGGAACAAATGTCTTTGTTGCAGAAGAAGGAGGTGACTTCATGTGTTACTGTCACATGAACCCAGAATGAAAAATTCAGACAGCACAAAAAGCTAAATATATCACTCAATACAAACCAGAATAGTTTAAAATGTGTCAAAAAATAAAATAAAAATAAGAGCAACTGTGTTAGCCCATGGGTATACACAGACTCCTACAAGATGCTCTCAGGACTTTTAAAGATTTACTCCGCTCCTTGTTTCTCAGGAATCCTCCATAAAGGGAATGGAGAAAACATCTTCCTGACCCAGCAGCCCTCTGTCATCAACACCGTTATGGGGAATGGTTTCTATCGCAGCGTCCCCTGTGGCCCGAGCTGCAGCGGTGCGGTGCGGGACATGATGCTGTTTGCTCCCGTGGCGCTGGCCAGCGGCCCTGATGGATCCCTCTACGTTGGAGACTTTAACTTTATCCGCAGGGTCCACCCCGATGGCTACACCAGGACCATACTGGAACTGAAGTGAGTGTCAGGAGCTTGCTGGGTCAGTTTGTAAAACCCTCTTTGTCTTGTCTGCGTGACAAAATATTTGGAAACAAGTGATTTTTTTTTGTTTTTTAACCATTCTAATGCAATGATCTGCGCTGGCGTTGGTTAGTGGTGCATTAGTTGTGCCAGGCATCGTCAGCAGCAGTGATCTGTTTGATCTCAGCTCTGAAGTTTGTGTCTATGCAAAGGCAGAGCGTGTGAGGTTCACACATCACAGGCCCTAATCTACCTCTTTAGGATGTGAGAGAAGCTTCTCTGTGAAACAAAGACACTTTTTTCTGTGGATTATGATGATATCGCCTGCTGCGCTGCAGGCACTACATTCTCTATTTCTGCAGCTTCTCAAGCGTGGAATCTCGATGGGATTGCACAGTCATTTGTCCTGTGGAGTGTTCTCCTTATGTAACTTTACTCTCTCATTTGCTGTCATTATTGTACCTCTGACTAATATTTCTGGTTTCACTGCGTCTCTATTTGATACTTCCCTCTCCTCGTCCCCCCCCGCGGGAAGAGATGCCAAAAGCTTCCTGTTTAGGTTAATATTTAATGTGAAACAATACAGCCATCTAAATCAAACTTAATCCCGTTTTATGAGAGGGAAATTGACCAATCTGTATGAAATTTTAAACAGATCTTGTTAGTATTATGAATAATTGTTGTTATCTTCTCTTTTCTTCTTTTCAAACACCCATTAATGGCTTATTATCAGGAACCGGGACACCCGACACAGGTGAGAATTCCTCATTAACGACTTTTCTATATAAACGTACAATCACACACACACACACACACACACTGAATAATCTTAGCAACAGCAATAGACTAAACAGGACTTGTTGGGAAATGCCTCACAGCTTTTAAACTGGGTTTGTTTGTTGCAAATTGCATTGACCTGACTTCCTGACAAATACTCCACGCACCACAACCAGAGTCTGCACACATTCTGCAGTCAGATCCATCAAATCCTCATTTAAAAATCCACCAGGCAATATTAAATTTGTACACTGGAAGTCAGCCAAAATGTCAAGGATTTCATTTTTTTTTTTTAGAGGATTACTAAAAGTCTGTTTGGAGGATGCATCGGTTCACTTGGTTTCTGAGCCCAAGTAAAAGCTTGAGGTTGGAAATGGCTTCACCATCATCCCTGGCCTCCAGCGTGGTGGTGGTGCGAGCTCTATGCACCATGTTTGACAGAAGATTAGACAGATGTTGTAGGGTTTTGTCCGTGTGTGTGTTTGTGTGTATCATGAGTTTTATTGAGCCAATTGTGCGTGTTTATGTGCTTCTGCCTGTTTGTGTGTTACAAAGATCCCATTTCAAAACACAGAGGTCTTTTTAAGGTATTTTCCACCCCGCTACAGTTTCAATTCATGCAGATATGATAACCTAACTGGTTGTTTGTGGGACTGCATGCACATGTGTCTACACACATGTCTGTGGGAATACAAACATGCACACACTGGAGTATAATTTCCTTCTAGGAAGCTTAAAACATTGATTCCTAACATCTAACCCAGCAGGGAGTTGCGTCAGTTGCCAGGAGATAAATAGAAAGAAAGACTGAGATGCAGCTTGAGTAAATTGAGAAAATAAAAATTACCCTCGGTTTAAGAAAATCACAGATTGATTCATCTGCATCAGCTAAAATGGCAAGCAGGCAGAAAAGGTTAAACCATTGGCTTTTTAATGTGTTACTGAAAAAAAAAAAACACAGCAGCAAAGAGTAATGCATCAATTGTGGAAGCACTTTAAAATGGCTGAAACAGACAGCTTGGATTTGGACAAATAAAGGTCCGACATTACAGGCAACACATTTAGATGTTCCTGGCTAAACTGCATAAAACGCAGTAAGAAAACAAAATGTTTAATTTTAATTGAAGACGTGAAGCAATACTGGTGCATTGTCTGCCCTTGTGTGTTTAAAATGATAGTTCAGATCTTTAAAGGTGGTTCTCTGGAACCGTTAGGAATAATTAGTATCTTACATGTTGAAGATGATCTTTGAACAGCCTCAGTTTGGAGAAATTGAGTTTATTTCTGACTCAAGTGATAAGCTAATGGCTGGTCCTAACAAGGCTAAGGCCAGATTTGGTTGATGCCATCTTAAAACAATTCTAAGCTCTAAAATTTCATTCAGGTTGTTTAAAAGCTAATTTATATATTTTTGTTTTGTATTTATGTCTATTGCATGGTTATTTTCAAACAGAAGTAGTACTAGCAGAAGTATCAAAGTCCATGCTCAATAATGCATGTAAAATAAATCCAAGAAATTTAAGTTAGGTTATCTGGATGGTTTATTATTATTATTATTATTATTATTATTATTATGAACCACTTTGGCTATGGCTGCCTCAGCGGAGTCAACAGGGGAGAGAGAGGACTCCAGAAACCATCTTATCACCAGCAAACTGGCTGGTCCACTATGGGAGTGTGCTGCTTGTGGGACTGAGTTTTGTTGTGGCTCCTTGGACTGATGAAGTCCTTTGGATGAAGGAAGAAATGTCTCAACAAAAGAAAGAAACTGTCCAGATGACCTAGCAGCAGTAGCTAGCAGAAGCACTTCTAGTGTAGCTTGGGATGCTTCCAGTAGAAAAATCTATATTTATGTCAAAACAGTCATGTAAAGTAATAATGGTTGTGTAAAAGTTTTTAAAATGGTGTTCACATGAAGTAAGACTAAAGGTGTTTTAAGACAGCTGCAATCCATTTTAGTCTCAGCCCTTTTCTAATTAGCTCATATACTCACTAGTAATAGAAAATCTGAACACATTATTCATGCTTGAAGATCTCTCCACTGACTTTCTATTGAAAGCAGACTCAAATTAAAAATCCCATTATTCATATTTAAAGTATCAAATGGGCTTGCGACATGTTCAGTAGTTATACGCCAGTAAGATTACCGGTAGTCAGGTTTACTTAGACATACAGTACCTCGTTTATTTTCCAAAACTGGAGAAAATGTTTTTAGTATTTTCTTAAAGAAGGGTTAAAAACACAACTTGACTTCCATTCTGAAGCTGAATGGCAGTGTAAAAGTTCATTTTCTGCTTTAGACTAGAAGTCAAGTTGTTTTTGTTTGTTGACCTTTTTTTGTTGGATTGATCTTGACCTGGATGACTGAGAATATTCACCAGCTGTTAGGATTCATGCACCAGAAAAATGGAATACACTGGCTTTAGACCTGACAGGGTGTGAGTGAGAGAGTGAATGGTTGTTTGTCTCGTTTGTCTTTATGTGGCCCTGTGATGGACTTGCGACCCGTCCAGGGTGTACCCTGCCCCTCGCACAGTGATTGCTGGACATGGGCACCGGCGACCTCCGTGACCGAAAATGGAATAAACGGGTAAAGAAAATGGATGGATGGATGGATAGACCTGACAGACCTTGCAGAGAGTGGTGAAGGCTGCACAGAAGTCTGTTGAAGTCAGTCTCCCCACCGTCACAGACATCTACACATCCAGATGCAGGAAGAGAGCCACATGCATCATGAAGGACCCCACTCACCCAGCACACACACTTCTTGCTCTGCTCCCCTCAGGAAGAAGGTTGAGGAGCATTAAGTGTAGAACCACTAGACTGAGGAACAGCTTCTACCTTGAGGTTGTTAGACTCATGAATCTCTAAACAGAATAATCACTGTGAAAAATTACATCATGTTGCTGCTGATCTGTTTCAATGTTGATGTGTTCATGCATGCTCATATACTCACACAGACTCATGTTCATGTTTGTGCTGATGTTCGACATAATGTTTTTATGCTATTAGTGCTTAGTGTATATTTAGTTGATGTTTTTCTTAGTTCATATCTTAGATCTCATCATTGTTTTTCTTTTATATTTTATTGTTGGATGTAACTGGGACCCTGTGTACATAATTTCGCTCCACCACATGTACCACATGAGGTGCGAATGACAATAAAGAATCTATGATTCTTTCTCTGACAAAATGCTTCACTTTAAGGGTTTCCATCCATCCATCCATCCATCCATCCATCCATCCATCCATCCATCC